TCTCCCATAATGATCTTACAGCCATGATGCTTGCAAAGCATCAAGGGAGATTTAGTCTACAAGATCTGGAGTGCAGAAAGCTGCCTACCTTTCACCTAAGGCCACCTCAAGCATCTATCACTCAGACAGCCACTAGATGGACTTCCTGGGTTCAGTGTTTCCATGTGCAACTTACCTGGGGTTTGGTAATCAAAAGAGGATGCTCCACTGAGGTAACCCTGTCATGAAAAGGCAGTGAGCATCTCTCACCACACCTGGCAGCATCCTCAGCCAGCCAGGAACAAGAGTTCGGCACTGGCTAATGGCAATTCTGTGCATATTCCAATTAGAGGTCATTCACTGGCTGACAGCGCCAATATGACATTCTCAACCAATGAATGAGTGCCAGGATCAGAAGCCAGATGTGGTTCATGCAGTATGAGAAGAGGCTTGTCACCTGTGGTACCTAGGGTGAGGGCAAACTGCTTTTAAACCGCATGCCCCATTCCTGGGAAATTGCACCGTTATACCTGGTACTGTAACCACTACTGCAGTGAAAACTGTTGGAGTAACCTTTTAATATAAAAAAGTTAAAATCTGAATTGTAGCCAGTTAGAATCTGAATTGAACAAGACACACACACACACACACACACACAAATTCAGCTATAATTTCACAAATTATATCCCAATTTTTTTGCTACCTGAATTTCATTTTTGTACAAACTGGAATTTGGTAAATAATCACGGCAGTGTTCAAATGTCCATATCATACTGTATCAAGCTGCTATCATCATAATGGTTATAGTACCTGATCTTGGTACCCAACTTTGAATTGGTTACGGTACCTGATCTTATAGTGCGGGATGGTGGAGGTGGTTATGGTAACCTGACTTTCAGTGGTGATAGTACTTGATCTTTAAATGCAGCAATACAATGGTTATGGTACCTAATCTTGTAGTGTGGCAGGATAGTGGTTATAGTGCCCGAGCTTGTAGTTGGACAGGGTGGAAGTGGTTATTGTACCCTGCCTTGTAGTGCTATGATACCTGATCTTGTAGTGCAAGAGGTTATGGTACCCTCCTCCTCAGTGGTTATAGTAGCTAATCTTGTAATGTGGCAGGGTAGTGGTTATAGTCCCCCCCACTCTCCCGCAGTGGTTATAGTACCCTTCTCTCAGTGGTTATAGTCCCCCCCCCACTCTCCCGCAGTGGTTATAGTACCCTTCTCTCAGTGGTTATAGTCCCCCCCCCACTCTCCCACAGTGGTTATAGTACCCTTCTCTCAGTGGTGATAGTCCCCCCCCCCACTCTCCCGCAGTGGTTATAGTCCCCCCCACTCTCCCGCAGTGGTTATAGTCGTACCTGATCTTGTAGTGCGGCAGGGAGATGGTGGCAGTGGTTATAGTCTCCCCCCCGCAGTGGTTATAGTCGTACCTGATCTTGTAGTGCGGCAGGGAGATGGTGGCAGTGGTTATAGTCTCCCCCCGCAGTGGTTATAGTCGTACCTGATCTTGCAGTGCGACAGGGAGATGGTGGCAGTGGTTATAGTCCCCCTCTCCCGCAGTGGTTATAGTCCCCCTCTCCTGCAGTGGTTAT